CCGAGGGAGCCGCTGCCCCTCAGCCGCCCGCGCTTCAAGGTCGCTGGGACGCGAGGAAGAAGGAGGAGGGAATTGTGAGGGCTCCACGTCGTCATGCTGGGGTGGTTAGTAGGGCTTTTACACCTGTCCGGTGGATGGAGTTGGGGAGGAGTAGGAGCATCTACTGCCCGAGTCGTAGCTCTGTAGCCGTTCAACCCAGTGAGATATTTGGCATAACAAAACGTGCGTTTTCTTCTTGAAGTAGGTACTTCTTAACAGAGAGTTGTGTTTTCCACCTTCTTATGATATAAGGATTAAATTATTCTGTTAGTGCTGGTGCTGTTGTAGCTTCCGGATACCGTGAGGTGATCAGGCAGAGCCGCCACTCTGGGCAGGGTAAACTGGGGTCAGAAGCATCACAACTTGCTTTGCCTGCAGGTTAAAAGTTCTATATTTATTCTCTCTTTAGCTCAGTTAGACATTCAATTGTATTAACTACTGGGGGAGGAAAAAAAAAGAAAAAGGTGTATTTTAAAACTGCTTTAAGGCTTCAAATATTTACGATCTGAGCAGTAACGCTTGTAATTAGATAAAGCTTTGTTGCTTTGTTGTGTTTAAGATTTAGCATGCCAAAGCTCGAAGCAAGTGCAGCAATTAACACTTCAAAATGCCTGAATTGAGGTTATTTTTGCACCTTTTTTTTCTAAGTTCACAAAGTAAGACTTTCTTGTGTTGTTTTGTGTTTTAGTCATCTGCTGCACTGTAATTAAAGGTATTAGCATTCAGCTTCATCTGTTTAGTGCTGTTATTATAGGGTAAAAAATAAAGGATTTCTAGAATATATTTAAAATAATAAATTATCTTTACCTAGGTAGATGCCAGTTTGCAATGGGTCTTAAAACCATCTGGAAGGACTACAAAGTTCTGATTGTTATGGGAACTGGCCTTGGGCTGGTACACTGGGGCTGGTTTTACATCAAGTCCAGTCCTCTTTTCCAAGTGAAGACAGAGGACTATGTTCCAGAACCTGGAATTGTGACATACGTGATGCAAAGCGATCAAAAAAATAAAGAAAAATAACATTAGTACTGTGTATTGTAGGTAAGTTGCCTAATTAGTTGTATCTGTATCTTAGAGGGAGGAGATGAGTCAATTAAATGAGAATGTTCTAACAGATGCAGCCTTGCTGCTCTAACTTGAGTATTCTAGAGTTTTATTCTTCTTTGCAACTGAGTTAATCTTGTAGCTACATGGCTCTAAAAAGTGCATGATAAAACTCAGAAAACTACTGCTAAATCCCATATGATGGGATCAATTTAAGTGATGGTGTTATGTGTCTTTAAAAACAAATTCCAGTAACTTCAAGGCAACAGTGCTACTCTTGTGATTGAGTCTGTAACAGTGTCCTTTGAGGCTCAAAATTGCCCAGAAACAGTTAGGACTTTACATAGGAAGTATTCTGTAGGGACAGTAATTATAGTGGAAAACTAAACAAAATTAAATATGAAGGAAGTTTAAGTACTGTGGAGATTGCATAGAAATGTAAATAAATATCCCTTTAAGTTTGAAAGTGTTTTAAGAACTGAAAAAATTTCCTGTTAAGCATTTTGAAGTAAGAAACTTTTCTTTGAGTCAGATTTCTTGAAGCTGTTGGAACATCAGAAGCTTTTGTTTCTGAAGTGGTTGCCTGGCAAGCGGTGCTGAGTAGTTGAGTTCTTTTGTTTTTGAGTAAAACAGATGAACATCACTGCTTTTACTATCGCTGTAAACTGTCACACAAAACTCTCACTGTAGTTTTGACACTTTAGGGAGATTCAGTGAAGTTTGTAATGGCCTGTTACTTATAGACCTACAGGTAAAACAACAGAGATTGGTGGTCAGAGTTGAAGTTATTAACAATATAATATTCATATAACTGGTGTGCTGTTTTTTTCTTTTTTTTACTGTATGCTTGTAGTAATTAACAGATTAATAGATTTTCTCAGTTAAAAAGCATTCAGGTGCCCAGGTGGGCAAGAAGGCCAATGGCACCTGGCTTGTATCAGGAACAGTGTAACCAGTGGGACCAGGGAAGTGAATGTCCCTCTGTACTTGGCACTGGTGAGGCTACACATCAAATTATGGGTTCAGCTCTGGGTCCCCACTTCAGAAAGGACATTGGGGTGCTGGAGAGTGTCCAGAGAATGGCAGCGGAGCTGGTGAAGGCTCTGGAGCAGAAGTCTGATGAGGAGTGACTGAGGGAGCTGGGAATGGTTATCCTGGAGAAAAGGAGGCTCGAGGCAACATCATCACTCTCCAAACCAAGGAGCTTTTAGTGAGGTGGGAGTCAGTCTCCTAAGTAACAAGTGATAGGACAAGAGGAAATGGCCTCAGGTTGTGCCAGGGGAGTTTTAGATTGGATATTAGGAAAGCTGTCTTCACAGAAAGGCTTGTCAAGCACAGGAACAGGCTGCCCAGGGAAGTGGCTGAGTCACCATCCCTGGAGGTATTTAATAGATGTGTAGATGTGGCACTTGGGCACGTGGTTCAGTGTTGGGCTTGGCAGTGCTGGAGGAACAGTTGGACTTGATCTTAAAGGTCTTTTCCAACCCAAACGATTCTGTGGTGCAGTGTTTGTCCTTGTGTGGCTTTTTTTTTTTTTTAATGAAAAATAAAATAGCAGTTCAAGCTATGCAATATTGTCATAAGATTATCCTAATACCTTTCTGGTTTTAATTGTAGGTGTAACTAACGTTGAAGCTTTTCATCTGTGACTGTTGCCAGAAAAGATGAAGAAAACTACCTGGAACAGAAAGAACCTGCTGCTTGTAGTAGGACTGTCAGTTATAGGCGTCCATTTAGGAAGCATGCTTGTAAATTTTGTTGCAAAAAAATCTGCTCAGTCACATTCAGAAGTTAAAAGAGATCGTCATGAGTGAAAATAGCTTCCTGCTGTCATTATGCATCAGTGTTGCAACATGATTTAAACCTCATTTTAAGAAAGACGTGATGACCAGTCACAGGAATGTTATTGTACTGTAATGTACTGTTTCACACTGAAAATATTAATCCTTAGCTGCAAAGAATTTAAATGTACTACTTTTAGATTTTAAAAGTGCTATGAATTATAGATCCGGGTGCAAATGAATTGTTTTGTTGGCCAAAATTAAAATCTTACTTTGAAAATGTCTCGTCTTGAAGCTAAAAAGCCTCCGTTATTTATTAGTGAACCTTTAACTAAAGACACGGTGTGTCAGTCGCTGCTTCTGCTTAGC